TTATCATAATCGAAAAATGATTTAATAATCATTTTGGAATCGTTTGATGTCATTTTTATATTATCATGATTTTTTGTTCTGCTTGGGAAAGCTATCGCCGTTACTCGGAGACTCTAAGCTGGAAGGAAAACAGCGTGAGAACATAAGGCAGATGTGAGTATAGAAATGTACGAAACCAAGCGACTGTGCAATAGCACCCGTAGTTTGGATCAGGGTCAGAAAGGCCTAGAGGGTCGCGAGGTCGAAGGGTTCAAGAAATAACGTGCTCTCCCTTCAAATTCACTATACGACAGGCGAAATAGACTATGAATCTTAAAAAAAACTTGCGAATCTTTAATCTTAGTATAGAAATCGCGAAAAAAGACATTGATCTTGGCTTAATCTGATAAAATAAAAATTTGCCAATTTATAGAAGATTATTGGAATCAATAAATTAAAAAATAATTTAGAAAATCAATAATTTATAATTTGCAAATTAAAAATTACTACGAATTAAAAATTAATATTTTCGTAGAAAAGTGCAAAAAATTATGTTGCTTGAGATATATTTCTATTTTATCAAAAATTATGTAATGACTTTACTTATTTTGAACACATAAAAGAATGAAATTGACTTTATTTTAATCAATCGCGAAATTTATACTTAGCTTTTTATTTAATTGTAAGAAACTTCGAAAGATTTAATATATAACTCAGTGCTTAAATTAATAATTCACAATTTATAGTAATTCACATTTTTTTATTATCAATAATTTATTGTTGTTATGCACTTTACTCGAAATTTTGTTAAATAATTGCCATGACTCACTTAAGTATATCTGTGTAACAAGTGCGTGTAAATTTACAAATTAATTTAATAAGGCAATTGTCAAAGTTACATCGTGCCTTGTTTATTATAATATATTATATAATGTCACAATCAAATCCATAAAAATGAACGAATCATACACGTGTGAGTACCTGTCTGAAAAATGATACTCTCGCACAGGTAGCCTTCCATTCGTATTAGCGCTCGCGTGAGAATGCAGGGGATGCAAAAATGCCAAAGCACTGTTTCCCATCCCAGATTTGGCAGCCACCCTTTGGGTCGCGCGCTAAGTGTTGCATAAATAACTACCCGTGCCGCATCGAGAAACTGGACTGTATTTCCGGCCATCTGCCTTATCGGAAATAATAAGTAATCATGATATTACAATAATCATAGATCGTGACAAGCATAGAAATCGAGTTACATAAAGAGAAAAGAAGAAAGAATATGGGGTAATTTAAAAAAGTCGTTAAATTTAGTGAAGAATTAAAGTGAAGAAAATTGTAATCTTGAAAGAAGTATTTACAAGTCCCTTTAAATTCAAACTACTTTCGCCTCCAATAGATACATTTTCGTCTCTTTAAATTAAAAATAATAAAGATGTTTAGGACTGTCATAATGAGGAAAATATATTTGTGTGTGCGATACTCTTCAAGTACTATACAGATCTTTAAATACCGTAGATGAAGAAAAAGAAGAAATTCGTATTAGACCAACGAAAATAAATTAGGAGAAATATTTTCAGTCAAAACGGATGTTAGTATTTTAAATAATAAATATTTCAAAGTGTATTAATTTATATAGGAGAGACTGGGACATCATGAGTCACAAAAATTTAAACTCTTAAAAGTGTATCTAAATATAAAAATGTTTGTATCATATTTTTTTTAATAAGTAAAGCATAATGCACATTTTAAAATTTAATATGTATATTTAGTAAATATTTATTTGTTCTTAAGAAAAAAATAAAAACATTTTTTAAGATATGACACATGGTGCCCCAAACCCGAGGTTCCCTAAGTTTTCCCTAAGTCACATACAAAATAGTAAGATTATGCAAGAAATAACGGTGACGAAAGTTGAAAAGTATTTTCAATTACAACATTACACTTTCTTAGCATAGTCACTAATACAATAAAATAATAATTATAATTAATAAGTATTAAATAATAAAATAGAAAATTATAAGAAAAACAAATGAGAAATAACTACTAGCATAAGATAAAAAATTTATTATGATAAAATAAAATTAATTGCTTAGAAGTACAAATTTTTAGTATATATATTTTCTATGTTGTCTCATTTCAACATGAATATTTAATATATGACCTGTAGTACCCCAATTATACTTTTAATTATACATTTAATAGAAAACTATAAAAAATAAATGTTAGATTATTACTTGTAACATAATAAGTTGAGGAAAGATGCGCAAAAACTTGCATCTTATCTTCATACATGTATCTTTTACTACAAAAATAATATTAAAACATTTTTATGCGATTAAAATGTTACTATTGCACCACCAAAACTATTAATGCTCAATGCTTTTCGATATAATGGAATTTAATTACTGCCACCTAGATAAAAAGTATGGACAACGAAGTAATAGTGTCATATTATACCAGCAGTATTAATTTAAACATTCTAGATTGTGTTACATAGTCGATGACCCATAGTACCCCAGTTTCCCCTACATATCTAATTCTGCAAACAGCGCGCCGAAATCTTTTTCGGTCTTAAAACGCAATCATAAATGGAATTAGATAGTAATATTATATATATTATTATATATATAGATATATAATATTATAGTAATATATATATATATTACTATAAT